TATCCAATATGGAACCCGGGTGAGATTTAGTTTCGGTAAAACAAAATGTTCTCTATATTTACGGCCAGTACCACGAGACAAGTATTTCATTATACATATAATATATATATATATATATATATATATATATATATATATATATATATATATATATATATAATATATATATTATCAAATGGACAAAGTCCGACAATTATTTTAAGACATTTTTATGTTTATACATTCTTAATATAGATACAAATATTTAAGTAAATGCTCTGCTTATAATAAATATAAGCAAAATGACGGTTCCGTATAGGATACAGGTTCGAATCCTGTCGGAGGACGAATATTTTCTGTGACAATTTCTCGAACATTCAGGCAAGGTAAATGTTGTTTATTATAAGCAGAGCATTTACATTTAAATATTTGTATCTATAAAAAGAATGTATAAACATAAAAAATCTTCTATATATATATATATATATATATATATATATATATATATATATATACTAGAGAAAAACACTTTTAGCCAGAATGACAATTCAAAGACTAGAAATATATTGCTATTTAATTATGAAAGTATATACGATGCAAGAACACCCGTGATATATTGAACTGGTCGGAACATTTGAGAATCGATATTCCTGGTTATTGTTCAACAGTTTCATACGCGTTCAGGATTCATCCGCGTACGGAATGTACGTGGTCTTCTACAACGTGACAAGTCAGTCGCTTAAACATTTTACCTAAAATGTTGAGTCAACCGACGAATCTGGAAATCTGATGGTGATTTTCTAGTAATTAAAGAGTAGGCAGAATTTTCTTGGGTTGCGAATGATAGATTGGTTAAGTCCCAAATAAAATTCCGCGATTTTTTTTTTTTTATTCAGTTGGGAATTTTCCCCATTAGTATTTTTACAATGTTATCTATTTCCTGAAAACAAAACTAATAAAGAATACGAAAACTCTGATATAGTATGACATCTATGTGTACACACACACACACACACATATATATATATATATATATATATATATATATATATATATATATATATGAACATAGAAGGCAACACTTAAATGTGACAGTCTGTTTCTCAGAGTCTAATTTCTGTATGATGCCAGGTTTTTTTATATGTTATTAAGACAAAAAAATGGAATACAAAACTATTTTCAGAAAAATAGGTTAAATGCAACAAATTTGAGAGGCTACTTATAAAATATTAAAAACTGATGGGTGTACGAATAATTTCGTCGTTGACTTATATATATATGGCCTGACGATTGCATCTAGCATGAAACAGGCTGTCGCCTCTAGGTGTTGACTTCTATGTTCATTTTTATATTTACACACTATCTCTGATATTGAGCACTTTATCCCATAAATATAGCACATCTTAAGACTATATTTCTTTATATATATATATAATATATATAATGTGTGTGTGTGTGTGTAATTAGGCATCAAATTCTTTTTAGGCATGTTTTATTGAATAAATTACAAACATCATAATCCTTTTATATTTACGAATATTTTTCCGCATATTATAATTAAATAAGGCAAGGAATGCACTGTAATATTGTGAATCATTTTTATTTCCCCAAGTACTTTCCATCTCTTTCTGTGATCATCATCAGGTTTGCAACTGGTATCTGATTCTTTTTTCAGTAATGCATAGCTTACACATAGTTTTTGCCTTACCCGTTGCACCTCTGATGATGATCTCAGAAAGAGATGTAAAGTACTTGGGGAAATAAAAATGATTCTCAATGTTACAGAGCATTTTTTGTCTTATTTAATTGCAATATACGGAAAAATATTCGTGAATATGAAAGGATTATGATAACAATAAGCAGACATAATGTTTGTAATTTATTCAATCAGACATATATAACGTTGGACGTTGTTTTCGACGTACGCATCTGAAAGGCCCCTTCCTGCCTCGCATCAACATGGCTGACACTAACCTCCAGGAGAGTGGCTCGCTGTGCATTCTCTGGTTAATATTCTCAACTAACATGAATTTTATTGCTAGGTCTGCTGTCAGGAATGTTGGTTCTTTCTCTCCTGATCCATATAAGTCTACTATTGGTCTATGCCTTAAGTATTGATGCCACATATGGTTCAGTGCCCTTGAGATTCTTGATAAAATACAAAGAAGAATTAGCAATATTATTGATCCTGACCTGGCTTCTCGGCTTCAGTCACTTTCCCATCGCCGAAATGTAGCTTCCCCGTGCCTTTTTGTATAAATACATCATGCTAATTGCTAAGATTTACTCTTCGCTGTGGTACCTAGACTTTATGAATTTAAGATCAGTACTAGATTGGCAGCAAGGTCTCATCGATTCACTTTGAATTGGCTAACTATAACCGTAAGTTCTATGCTAACAGTTTCTTTCCTCTCTACTTCTCGATTGTGGAACTCTCTTCGGATTCCATTCTTTCCAACCAAGTTTTATCTTAAAAAATTTAAATGCAGTGTCAATCGTTATCTATTGTCTTCTTGATTAATCTCCTCTTGTTGTTCTCGCTCCTTCATAATGTCTTTCACACTTACTAATCCCTTGTATTCTATTGTCTTTACTATTGGGGTGATACAATTAATTCTTAGAACAGAACAGCCAGCCTATTCGCAAATATGATTTGATTATAGAACGAACATATGATTTGATTACAGAACGAACAACATTTTTGGAAGAGCCGAATACAGAGAACTGGTGGACGTAGTGTGCCACGCGGTCCCCAAATGACCCTGATCAGATATTGAATTCGGAGTTTTCTTTTTACTAGACGGGTAACCACCCAAAGCTATAGAACCTGATATTTACCCATAGCTGAGCTCAGAAGAAATGAATCCTAAACTTTCCTAAGGCACTGTGGAGCCATGGATATATATTACATCTTCTGTTATCCGGTTTTCTTGGAACATGGTTTGAAAAATATGTTCGGATAATCCAATATTTCGTATAATCGAATACGTAAATTATCAAAAATGCTTTGTTCAAAGTTTCATCTATTTTATTTTCTCCAGCTTCAAGTTGGTCTCGCGTACTTTTGTCGCTAAATCCTATGCCTGGACTTAAGTAGATATATTTTTGTAAGCATAGATTTTTCTGTTTGAAAGAGCAACCAGCTTGGGCATTTATCAAACATGAACCTTGTTTCGGTGTATGAAATCGTGCATTGAGTCTGTTGAACTTCATGATGTCACATGTATCTAAGTAGTGCGACCAAGCTGCGATAATTCAAATGTATGTTCTGTGCATGACAACTCCGAAGAAATTAACAAGAATTAATTGAACTGATTTTATCAGTGGCTTTTTTTTTTATTATCAAACGCTGAATATCAGTTTCTAAATTCTAAAAACGCTTGTTCGAGTTGAAACTTTTGAATGTACTTTCGATAATTGTAAAACGTTCGGATTATTTCAATTTTTCTCTCCGTTTCACGTCCGGATAATCAGTCTGGAAAACTAAAAAATCGAGGAAATACCTTACATAAATGAATGCTCACACACACACACATATATATATATATATATATATATATATTTTGAAATGGACAAAATCCGACAATTATTTTAAGACATTTTTAAAAAGAATGTATAAAAATAAATAAATATATATATATATATATATATATATATATTGAATACGACAGACAAGGTGCATTTACCTTTTTTTTATACAATTTCTCATGCGATCTAATATTTTTTTTTTCTTTTAAGATGATAAACTATATAAAAACTGTCCGAATGTTCTTTTAATCCGAGCGCTTTCGGCTATACATTTAACCATTTTCAAAGATTAAATATTTTAACTGTTAAATAAGAAACAGTTTGTTGCATGTATGTTTTATAAAATGTTTTCGTTTTTCAAAACACGGTCAAGATATTGTGTCTATGTTCATAGTTAATATCATTAAGTGTTGTTTTTTTTATTAATAAGGCTTCCATTATTTTTAACCTTTTTTGCGTGTAGATGATGCTATTATGTTAGTAATGTCAACAAGTATGTTACAAATAGTGTCATCTGAAAGGAAAAAAATATTAGATGAGAAATGAGAAATTGTATAAAAAACTAAATAAAAGCACCTCGTCTGTCGTATTCATTGAAATGGGCATGAAAGAAGGATTGCTGCCTAAATACACACACACACATATATATATATATATATATATATATATATATATATATATATATATATATATATATATATATATATATAGAGAGAGAGAGAATAACATTATCAAGGCGTCTTACACTTCATATGTCGGATATAGGTTCTACTGCACAACATTTAAAACACATCCCTGTTCACCTTCACAATACAGATCAATACTTGTTGACGACACCAATATACAACACCATGAAAATAATAAACAAAAACTTCAAATTCTCTGGGCCCCTATATCAAAAGCAATCAACCAACACTCAACAAAATTTATTATGAGTGTAGCAGCAACGTGCATATAACAAATATCTAATGCCATTTAGCATTTCTACCAATTTCCAGCCAACTCTCTGATATTGAGATCCTTGTGTTGCAAAAAAAAAATCTTTAATTACAACGGATGAATTAAAAATTTAAAAAAAAATTATAACAACCGTGTTTTTTTTCAAAATCACCATCACCATATTCGGGTTTCTCTTTATTTCTATGTGAATTTATCTTATCGAGTAAAAGTAAATCATTACTTAATTATATATGCAATTACGACAAATGCAGAAAAAAAAGCTTTTGCTAACCAACAATTTTTTTTCAACATGATCTCATTCTTTTTCATCTCGCTTAACTCGACGCCTCTCCCTTTATCATTTTTAATGGCATATCTTTCAGCGGCGTAAGCGAACATGGTTCTCTATGGCTTCTTTTTCTTACTTGTGAATAGCTATAATTTTATTCAGAAATTTAGTGCTGTCGTTTCCTATTGGATTCTCCACGTAATTTAGAGTGATCCTTCTCTTAGGCTGCCTCAGATGTGGCAATCAATCTCATGTTTTTTCTACATCCATATCCTGTTGAAACGCCGGTTCTCGTACGAACACCGAAGTTAAGCAACGTCGACCCTGGTCAGTACTTGGATAGGTGGCGGTTTCGGAATACTGTTTGTATGTACGGGTGGTGTAATGGATAACGGCTCGGAATTGGAAATAGGAGAGCCGATTTCAAATTCCAGTCAGAAAAGGTATGAATCCACTTCTCCTCTCCATAGCTATGGGTTAATAAGTATGACTTGTAACAGTAAAATCATTATTATCTCAAAAAAACAAAAATCTTACAATCAAAAAATATTTTCTGGCTTTAAATAACCGGTAAGAGGTTGATAAGCCGTAAGCAAAACAAATCAGTCAACAAGAGTAGGTGTACGAAACTGAACACAACAGAATCTGAAATAGTTTTGCTGTTTCCGCTTTCTGCGCTGATAACAGTTACGCTACCTGCACGTTTGTCAGTAAGAATCGAACGCGTTACAGTGAAGATTCCCAGATTAAAATTCAGTTAATAACTGTTTTAGATTACGAATTCTAACACCGAACACATTTTGATACATTCGGTGCATTCAAACGTTTCGAACGTGTTTTTAAGTTATTCAAACATGGGAAGGGACTCTCTAATAGATAATGGGTCATTGTTTTTAAAAAGAGAGAATGTGAGGGAGGATTTGTACTGGGAAGTTTTTCACGTATCTAGTAAACTGCATAAGTCCTATTTTCTCATGTTACATATATAAATGTCTGTGAAAACGTTCGATTTCATGGTAATATAATCAAAATTGGGTTGTTTTTTTTTCCCAAAATCAAAAGGAAGACTTTTTTAAATAAATTTCGAACGGTGTAAGTTCATGCGATGTGTAGCAAAATAGAACCAATCTTTTCAACAACATACATACATACATACATACATACATATCTATCTATCTATGTAAATGTGTGTGTCTGAAATATATATATATATATATATATATATATATAACGTCATCCACAGACAGACTGTTTCACAGCTCGTGTGTGTGTATATAATATATGTGTATATATGTGTGTGTGTGTGTATAATGTATATATATATATATATGTGTGTGTGTGTGTGTTTATAATGTATGTGTGTGTGTGTGTTTATAATGTATATGTGTGTGTTTATAATGTATATATATATGTGTGTGTGTGTTTATAATGTATATATATATGTGTGTATAATGTATATATATATGTGTGTTTATAATGTGTGTATATATATATATATATGTGTGTGTGTATAATGTATATATATATATATATGTGTGTGTGTGTGTATATAATGTATATATATATTTATATATATATATATATATATATATGTGTGTGTGTGTATAATGTATATATATATATGTGTGTGGGTGTGTGTGTTTATAATGTATATATATATATATATGTGTGTGTATAATGTATATATATATGTGTGTGTGTATAATATATATATATATATATATATGTGTGTGTGTATAGTGTATATATATATATATATGTGTGTGTGTGTGTTTATAATGTGTATATATATATATGTGTGTGTGTGTTTATAATGTATATATGTGTGTGTGTTATAAATGTGTATATATATATATGTGTGTGTGTGTGTTTATAATGTATATATATGTGTGTGTGTTTATAATGCATATATGTGTGTGTGTGTTTATAATGCATATATGTGTGTGTGTGTTTATAATGTGTATATATATATATATATATATATATATGTGTGTGTGTGTATATATAATGTGTGTATATATATATATATATAGAGAGAGAGAGAAAGAGAGAGAGTGTGAGTGTATGTGTATGTAAAGCTAGAACACGAAAATTTAGTATAGTTTAACCTTCTGTGTTCTCAGATGGGCAATATGTTACAAAATTAGGCGGAACAGTAGAATTATTCCTGTTTGTCAATTAACGGAGAAACAGAATAAGCAAGAATAAAAACAACTGAGGCAGAGATAAGTAATTCTTGTCAGTCTGCAACCTTCTTTGTGTATTGTTAGAAAAGCCATTGGACGTCGTAGTTACTAAGAATTATTTGTTCATGTTGCACATAATAAATTAGGTTGGAAAGAAATTCCTGTCACATTTGGAGATGGCAAGTTAGTTTCTGCTTTGTTGGTCTTAATTTCGATATTTAATCTAAATATTTTCACTCGTTTTCGATAACATAATTTCATCTGTTTGTCCCGTTCTCGAGCGTAAAATTCCAAAGGCTTCAGAAAAAATTCAATACCAATTTTAACCTCTCCGCAATTACTCAACAGTTTTCCCTCTAAAGGCAAAACAAAGGTTACAGTGATCTGAAAAGATCATAGTCAAATGGAGTGAGGCCAGGAGAGTAAAGAGGATAAGGAAGATTTTCTATATTTAATGACATAATCCGAATGACTAGGGCAATAATAATTAATCTTTAGAGGGAAAACCGTTGTGTAAGAGCAAAACGCATTTACAATTAAACAACGGTGGTCTCTTTATCTGCAAATTTTTGTGCAATAATTTCAGTTGACGACAACTGCTTCGTTTTAGCTTGGCACTTTGTGATAGATGACACGTTTTACAACCTACGAAACACAGAGAAAGGACGTTTTAAAGTGGAAAATAATTCTTCACTCGCAAAACCGTATCAAGGCTTTTGAACACTATCAAGACTGGTGAGTCCTAGGCAGCAATACTCCATTTTTGGTCTGATCTGGATCTTTTAACGATAGAGCATAGCAAGACAAGGCAGTGGAGCGATGCAACGGACCGACCCTATTTCCCAATATCTTTAGCGATGTATTGTATGTAGGGTGCGATGGATAAATTGTCGTCTAAATTATGCAAAAAAAAAAAAAATAAATAAATAAATAAAAAATAAAATGTAAATAAGACTGACGACTCATTTTAACAGATATATTTACCAAAATTACATAAAATATCTTGAAACACTAAAAAGTAAATTTATTCAATAAAACCACTATTGACTTCAATCGCTACCTCCAGAAAACTTCGGAATCTCCTGCAACTCTTCTGAATGCGGCCATAATCTTTGCCTTCAGTTCATCTTTGGTCTTACACGGAGTTTTCTTGATCTCCCACTCAACTGTGACCCACATATAACAATCAAGGAGGTTGTAGTCTGGGGTGTTAAGTAGCCAGATATAAGGAGTGATGTGGTTGCAGAAACAGTCTGACAGAAATGACTGTATTTTCCTACATGGTGCAGAGTCCTGTTGCCAGACATAGGGTCTTCCAGTCTTCACCCTCTTGACACGGGGCAGCACTACTTACTCAAGGAACTTGATGTAGGCCTCCGTGTTGAGTCTGAGACCCTGTCGGAAGATGAATGGAATCATAACATCGCCATCACTAGTGATCACTCCAAACACCTTCCTAATCATCATTAGACTCGTCCAACTTTTTCCGAATCCTCTGCACTGTCTTCAGATTGACACCCAAACACACTAAAATGTTAGCATTGGAGCTTCCCGCGTGAAGGACAAGCAGTACAGAATGTCGTTTCCCAATTTCTGGTGGAGTGAATTGTGCCATGGTAATCTTTTTCTCACGGACGATGTCCAACTGACCCTACTATACTGTACATTCGAGAAAATCAAGAATAAACAACGCGCATGTGCGAAACTGAAAATATAAAGTGGTGACAATTCACCATTGCACCCTGTATGTACTACACCCAGACATCAAGTGTATATGAGTTCCACTTGATGTCTGGGTGTAGTATGATTTCACATAGGGACTCAAGACAAGAGATATTCTTGTGAGAACAACCATTCGTGATAGGCGAAGATTTAGGGTCTACTCAGATGATGAATTCTTTGTATTTTAAATTTAGATCTCTAATAGCTGATCCCAGCTTGGTGGACTGAAGGCTGTTTAGAAGTGGGAGAAAAAGTATAAGCTAGAAGATGTTCAGGAAATGTAAAAAGATTTATATTGTCATGGTGATAATGCTCTTCTTGTTATTCAATGTTGTGGCAGACATGAGACAGAACCTGGGACGAGCACAACTGGTTGCGACTTGCCTTGTACCTGCCAAAAAAGAGCCCGTATTTGCTTAGCATGTAAAGCTACTGCAGTTGAAATGAGGGAGAAAAAAGCACTTACCGCTCTGCCGTAATCTGTCCTCGGCCAGATAACGTAAAAGAATGAGGGGGAGACGTGCATTGCATTTTTATGCAATAAAGATGCAATGCATTATGGTACAGGGACACAATGAATTATGGGATCACATGAAGACGCAAGGGATTATGGGTATATGGACAAATATAAAAGCAACTACTTTTTCCCAGTACGGGGAGTTCTTCGTATGACGTTCACGGTTGGCGGCTAGAACAGTCTGTTAGTGCGATTTTGAGACAGAATTCAAGAAGGAACGACTCTAGGTTGAAATACCAACTGGGAGAGCTTGAATTTACTCGCTGGTTGCTGTTTTCTTTATTCGCAACAAATGTGCTGCGTCATTTCAGAACATGGGCAATCATGGCTCTTCAAAACTCTATCACTTGGGACCCTCAGCTGTTTTTTCTCCCCTATCTAAGCCCCCACCCTTACCCCGTAGTTCCGCTATCCATTCGACCAAGCTCGTCAGGTAGTCGTTTTCCTTATGTCTCTTGCCCTCAATACGCCATGTGAGGGTTATTTTTTTAAGCTTTACTTTCTCATTAAGTGTTCAAGAAATTCCAGCCTTTTCTTCATGACTGCCCAGCACAAGTGTTCGTTTTGTTACTATTTTCTTCAAGACTACTGCGATACTTACTCGTTCCGTCCATAAAACTCTCAGTATTATTCTCTGGAACCACATTTCTGTTGACTCTAGTTTCCTTCTCATCCTTGGGGAGATTGTCCAGCATCCACTGCCACATAAGATGACGGATAACGCAAAACAATCCACCGCTCTTTTGTTTGTTTGCTAACGAAAATCTTTCCGTTTCTCAGCACTTTGATTAGTTTTACGTGTCTGTTTTTTGTTTTGTGTTTCGCTAACAATATTTTGGAAATTTTTTAAAAGATTTTCTCTGAAAACCATTACGTCTTATCCATAAATTCTGCGTAATTTAATTGAATTCCATTCAAATGAATAAAGTAGACGACT